AACAGACAAAATATGACAGACAGTCGTATCATCTGAAGCGAATGCGCTTAGGAAAGAGGGAATTGCTTCTTCACGCCAAATACGCGTGCTGGCTTACTGTCGGTTATTAAGTCACAACAAAACCTGTCTATCAGTGATTCCGGTAGGGATTTCCAGGTTTAAGCGCTGCTTATACAGAGAGATCTGAATAAACAAGCTTAACGACATATTCAACAGCATCAGAAAGCACTAGGAAGCTGTGATCACGAAAAATCCGCTGACTAATGCGCGACGAACGAACGAACCAACGAACGAATGAACGATGATCGCAAAGCCGGATCGGATAGGCTGCGAAAACAGCGAATATCACCCATCCATGCTAATTATAATGTTTAGGTCTACCCAACCGGTTCGTCATCTACCACGCCGGCCATTGTAAACGTGGAGGGGTAAAAAACGGTCTGCGAATACGTAAACAACCAAGCAATTTCCATACATGTTACGTTACACAAATGCAAAACGAAGCCAATGAAAATCTGAAGTCCGAAAAAAATAGACGAATGGACAGAATGAAACAAAATCGTCAGTGGTACCATTAAATCAGACGACGGTCAGAAGGATGGGGTGTTTGAAAAGGAACCAAAATAACCATTCGATGACTTTGAACGACTGAAAACTCGTTAAGGACAAATCAGTGCTACTAGCGTTGTATCATTCACTATATAATGCTATGCATTACGCGAGTGTGTGCCAAATATGTTAAAACCCAACAACCACTTGACATAGGCTAGCCAGGGTGGTTTTGATGTGGCGGATAGTTTTGTTATTTAATATCTGCTGAACACGAAGAACAAACAGCGTTCAGAAATGGATCAAATTCGACAGATCGTCTTCAGGAATAACCCTAAGTGACTAAGTGATCGTCAGAAGCGCAATTGCGTTAACAATGTCACGGTAAGGAACGGTGTACACTGACGGTAATGGCAGGGAACTGCTTGAAACCGGTTGGTCTGCCTGGATGTTTCATTTTTTGTCTATCCATTGTGTAATATGTCGCTGGGTCCTCGCCAGGAAGGTTACGGCGCCGGTGTGATCGGACTGTGGCAGAGATTTCTGTTGGTGGCATACTCATATTGCCAATCAGGTTAGTTCTGCCGTTGCTGATTATGCCCATAATGGCAGGAAAAAAAGGGTGGTCCAGAAAATTTGATGACGCTTGCATTGCGGATAACATCATTGCAACTTACGCTGAGGAGCAGCCTCTGGCTACCTATCTAGCAGGTACGAAGATTATTTCTTTCAGTTTCCGCAACATCAAGATCACGGCTTCATACAGCAACAGAAAAAAATGCAGTAGTCAGCAGAATATATGAATATTCTATACAAGGAAACGACACGGGTAAATTCTGAAGAAAAAAAATAATTACAAAAATTAATTTAAACTCACTGCAAAAACTTGGAGATTTTCTGTGGAAGAGTCTAACATCTGAATATTTTATTTATGCCATATACCAGGTGCAGTAAGTTGGACCTTAATGTTTTTAACAGCACATGTATACAATATGCAACAGTAAGAAAATTATTACGTGGCAGATTTAAAGCAACAACAGAGCCTTTGAGGCAGAAGGATTAACCAGGGCACAAATTACGTGAGTCAAGAGTGATTTTCAGCACAGCTCAGCTTATTTTTTGAAATGATGAAATTTCGCATAAATCGGAAAGCTACAAGAGTAGGATGCTGCACAAAGTACATTTAACGGTTGCTATGAATCATTTCTACCGATGCTTCGAAAAGAAATCAAATTTCGTACAGGTTTTTACTTCTTTCAAGAGTCAATGGAGAGGTGGAGGCGTCGCTGCCTGGCTGCATCAGCGCCACCAGAGAAACGTTTGTGTGAAAACTGATCATCGACACAACAAGGAAAAAACTGTTATGTGTCGCAGCTTCAGAGCGCGAGCATAAAACTAGCAGCATCGAATTATT